CACACACACACACACGTACTTCTTGTTGTCAACATCCGCATATACATATATAAATGTATGTATGTGTACATACACACATATATATCTCCTCGTGTCTCCTGTATATGAGTGTGCGTCCATGTATGTGAGCGATTTGATCATTGTATTTGGTCACCCTGTGTGCATGTTTTTTTTTTGTTTTTTTTGTTTTTTTGTGGGGTGGGGGTTACGATCTATTCAGTTCGGGTTTGAATTTGTCTATAAAGTTTTTTCCTGTATTTGTAGATACGAGTAATTGTCTGTTTGATATATCGGCATGATATTAAACTTACCCCTGGTTACATTTGAAAATGTGTTGTGATACAAAAGTTTTCTGTTGTCTGTCAATTTTATATTGCTTTTGTGTAGGGAGACCCTGTTGTTCAGTTGTTGGCTGATGCCTATATATGACTTCTTACATTTTGTGCATTTAAGTGCATAAATTACATTTTTTGAGTTGCAGTTTAAGTTTTTGTTTATTGTGAATGTTTTTTTTGGTTTTCAAAAGTGTAAGAGTTTCCTTCTATAATGATGTCACAAACTCCACATCTTTTTTGTTGCATTTTGTGACTCCTGTATTTTTGTGTTGGCTAAATTTAGATGAGGTTAATATGTGTTTTAGGTTTCTAGATTGGCGTTTGCTCTTAATTATTTTGGTTGTTTTTAGTATATTATTCAGTTTATTATTCTTGCTAAGTAAATCTAGATTTTTTGTGATTTCTGGGAATATTTCTGGGTTGTTTTTTGTTGTACGTTGAGACATATGCTAGAGTTTGTTCGACGTTACGTTTCTTTTTATTTCTAAGTTGGTCTAGAGGAATTTCTTTCGAGAGTTCAAAACCTTTGTTTATTAGTGTTGTGGGGTAGCCTCGTTTCTTGAGAGTTTTATGTAGTTCTTCTAAGCGGATTTTTCGGAGATGTTTATCAGTCACTATTGTACAAATTCTACGTGCTAGGGAATAGGGGATGGATTTTAGGCAGCTTTTTGGGTGATGGCTCTTGAAATGAACGTATTGTTGGGTGTCTGTGGGTTTGTGGTAGATATCTGTGATTATGTGGTTGTTTTATTTCTAATGAGTATATCTAAAAATGGTAATTCGTTAAAATTATATTCTTGCGTGAATTTGATTTCTGGGTGTAAGTTTTGAAGTAGTGTATGGAATTGGTTAATATCACCCCATGATGATTTCCAAAAGATGAAGCAATCATCTAGATATATTTTCCAAGATTTAGTGAATTGGGTCTTTATATTTGTCCCATATATTTGTTCTATCTTTTCATAGAGGTTTTCTTCTAGGTAAGCTAATGTTAGGTGGCATATGTTGGTGCCATTTTTGTTCCCATCGCAGTATCTAGGGTTTGATATAGTTTTTGTTATATATATATATATATATATATATATATATATATATATATATATAAAAAATCTATGTATCATGTTCTCCCATATAAGGGTCTTTTTAAAATCAACATTTTTCTTTTAAAGATGCTACCATCTTGCCAAGTAAATGAAAATTTCGCTAATAATAGTGAAAGGTAGTTGTCAGATAGCGATGGGTGACGCCCGCTAACGACAAATGTCTCCATAAATTTTATTTTGATTAAATAGAGCGTAACATTTTGGAGGCGTAGAATTCCTTCTACTAAGTCACATGTAACGGCAAATGAATAATTGTTTATAATCGTTCATATATATATATATATATATATATATATATATATATATATATAGAGAGAGAGAGAGTATATAAGTATCAAGCCCTGTTTCATCCTCAAGCGAAAATTTAGGAATATATATATATATATATATATATATATATATATATATATATATATATATATATATATATTGCAAGTGTAATGGATACAAATCCGACAGAACGAAGAAATTTTGAAAAACAAACAAAAATCCTTAAATGTAGTTAAAATGAAAAGAAAATATATATATATATATATATATATATATATATATATAGGTTCCTAAATTTTCGAGGATGAAACAGTACTTGATACTTTAATTCAATTTAATTTTAATAATTATATTGAGGTTTTTGGCTCTTGTTTTTTGAAACATGAGAACTCTTATGTAGCGAAGGAATCATATTTTTTTTTAAATAATTATAATTTAAGCTCTACTTTTGTATGGGGCAGAGTTTTTTTAAAATTAAAAACCAAAATACTAAAGAACTCCGGATTATTAACCTAACGTGTTCTTTCATATTTTCCTATATATTTTCACGCACACACACACACACATATATATATATATATATATATATATATATATATATATAGAGAGAGAGAGAGAGAGAGAGAGAGAGAGAGAGAGGAGGGAGAAAGAGGTGCAGTCAGTAATGAATATTTTTCTAATCTATCTTACATATTTCATCCATGTTTTGAATACTGTTACCACATATGGTTTAGTGACCCTGCTTAATATTTAGAGATTCTTGATAAAATCCGAAGAATCAGCAATGTTATTGTCCCTGATCTGGCATCTTGGCTTCAGTAACTTTCCCACCGCCGTAACGTAGTTTCGGTATCTAGAGTCTATGAATTTAAACGCAGTACTAGATTGGCGGCAAGGTCTCATCATTTTACAGTTGAAATGGGCAGATAGTCATAAATTTTAGACTAACAGTTTCTTCTCTCATTTCACGCTTGTGCAACTCTCTTCCGTCTTCTTGCTTTCCCGTCAAGGTTGAACTTCAGAAGTTTAAATGCAATGTCAATCGTTATCTTGTCTTCTTAATTCCAGTTCTTTTCATGTTCTCTCTCCTTAATACCGATTTTTTTCTCTCATATTTTCTTACACTCAATAATTCCTTGCGTCTTAGTGACTTTATTACCTTGCTTGCTTCAGCTCAAAATTTATTTAGTAACTGCCAATCTATGCACTTATTGATTCATCCTTGTATTTCTATATATATTCATACATTAACATAGAATAGTAAATGTGAGACGTGTTGAATCATTCTCAGCCTAGCCTACTTCTCTAAATTAGTATTTTAATGAAAAATTAAGGTTCGAAATATAAAAAGCCGAATGCTGGTTTTAGAAAATGGTTTGGAATAAGAACTTTTCAGCGCACCTTTATTCCCGCGTCACTTGCTTCTTCGTACATCAATTCTCTCGAGCAAAAATTATCTTGGCTGAGTAACCAAGATTTTAATGAACTGCCAGCCATTACGTTATTATTTAGTCAACTATGCAACAAACCTGATTCAGTTGGCTCAAAGCGAGCAAAAAACGGCTCTTTTACATTTTCTCAAGAAAAGAGGGCTTGGAGAATATAACACTCACAATTTTTAATATTTACAAAGGTAAAGGTAATACGTATTTAAAGTAAAATTACTAACAACGCATCAATCAACATGAAAGAAGTCTTACATTGTATTAATCCATATAATATCCTACAATTTCTTAAAGAAATCAAACTGCTTTCCAGAATATAACTTCAACAAAACTACAACTTAAAACACACATAGTATTATATCTAGTAATCTAGTTCACACAAACATCATCCTCGGTATGACGATAAACTACATCCGGCAGCAATGCCTCCGATCGGGAGATTTTGAGGAGCGTAGAACCAACTATTGATTGCTTTTAGTCCCAGGTCCACCAAAACAAAAATAAAACACTATGAATGTATAAAAATGCGTATTTATAATAAAATTACCAAAGATAGATATGCGTCCTGGGTAAGTCGTTAAACTACATCCAGCAGCAAGGCCTCTGATCGGGAGGTTTTGAGGAGCATGGAACCACCTCTTAACTGCTGTTGTTCCTAGATCCACCTAGATCCGGGGTGGCAGCACCTGTTAGGGTCCTAGCTATGGGCAAATAGTTGAACCCCAATCTTGGGTCAAAACACTAAAAAGTATAAAAATAGATTTTTATAGTAAAAATACCAGCAATACATTTTTGGAAAAAATATTACTAGCAATACTTTCGACAAATACCCTCTTTACAAAAATACTTCATGATTTGTTCTACAAACTAATTTATTACAAAGAATCCATATCCTATTCATAGGAATGTATCATAAAAATCTTGTCAGTATTAAATAACTCATTGAGGTTGATATGTCGCAAAAAACCAAGAACACGACTTAAAAGCAAAATGTTTATAATGGTTTTCCACCTATTTTTATTAGATATTTGAACATACGTTTTTTATTACTAAAGTTTAATTAATACAAGGCTTGAGAGCCACCCAATGTAAAGGGTTAGTGAATGAAGCGTTTGATATTAATAAAAGGGGAGGAAGTGTAGAGTATGAGGATAAGGAGGATAGATGAAGAATGGCCTTTGACTTGGAAAGGTTAAGATTGCAGTGTTCAAGAAAGCACCCACATGGGAGGCTTTTTCAGAAGTAGCAGTTCTTGGGAAGAAATGTCTCAGTAAAACTTTCTCCTTACGGAGGAAATGAGTATGTTTCGATTCTGTCGAAGTAGCATAGTGGCTCGTATCTGTGAAGACCTGAACTGGTGGAACTAAAAAACGGAACATAATTATCTTGAACGTTAGCCGTGACTATAGCAATAGAACAGTAACAAGTTTGTAACATTGCACCTGTGAGAAAGTGGATGCAGAGTGGAGAATAGGTTTTCTCACACATGACGGCGTAAACGGCTCTGTCAAGGCTGGAAAGAGAGGATTGTGTAGCTCCAGTCTAAATATGGTGGGAAAACACTCTATTTTCGGTCTAATCAGATTCATGTAAAGATAAAATATGGAAGAAGTCATAGTCTATCGTGGAGCGACAGAATGAGTCAGACATTTTTCCGGCATCCTTAGCAATGGATTGTATGTAAGAGTTTGATACCACTTGAGGTCTGGAATGACTCCAGACCCCAGTAGACGTTCAGCGCTTGGAGGCTCATTGAAATGCTGTTTACATCTTGTCTGCATATGAAGTTATTTTTATAATTTAATTTCCGGTCTTGGAAGAGTGTAAGTAACTATAGTATGACTATATTACTCACACAAAATGGCTATTAGTAATCGTGTGAGTGAGTGAGTGAAAGAAAGAAAGAAAGAAAGAAAGAAAACGAAAAAAGATAATAAAAGAAATAAAGGAAAAGAAAGAAAGAAAGAAAAAAAAAACAAAAAATGAAATAAAGAAAAAGAAAGGAACAAACAAACAAAGGAAAAGAAGGAAAGAAAGAAAGAAAAAGATAAAGAAAGAAAGAAAGAAAAACGATAATAAAGGAAAAGAAAGAAAGAAAGAAAGAAAGAAAGAAAGAAAGAAAGAAAGAAAAGGACAAAGAATGAAATAAAGGAAAAGGAAGAAACAAAAAAAAAGAAAGAAAGAAAGATAAAGAAAGAAAGAAAGAAAGAAAGAAAGAAAAACGATAATAAAGGAAAAGAAAGAAAGAAAGAAAGAAAGAAAGAAAAGGACAAAGAATGAAATAAAGGAAAAGAAAGAAACAAAGAAAAAGAAAGAAAGAAAGATAAAGAAAGAAAGAAAGAAAGAAAGAAAGAAAAACGATAATAAAGGAAAAGAAAGAAAGAAAGAAAGAAAAGGACAAAGAATGAAATAAAGGAAAAGAAACAAAGAAAAAGAAAGAAAGAAAGATAAAGAAAGAAAGAAAGAAAGAAAGAAAGAAAGAAAGAAAGAAAAACTATAATAAAGGAAAAGAAAGAAAGAAAGAAAGAAAGAAAGAAAGAAAGAAAAGGACAAAGAATGAAATAAAGGAAAAGAAACAAAGAAAAAGAAAGAAAGAAAGAGAAAGAAAGAAAGAAAGAAAGAAAGAAAGAAAGAAAGAAAGAAAGAAAGAAAGAAAGAAAAACGATAATAAAGGAAAAGAAAGAAACAAAGAAACAAAGAAACAAAGAAACAAAGAAAAAGAAAGAAAGAAAGAAAAAGAATTGATGGATTTTACTTTTACGGATTGTCAATTCTTTACAGGTTATTTGAAGCCAGAAAATATTTTTTGATCGTAAGAATTTTTGATGTGGAATAATAATGATTTATTGATACATTGACCGATCGAAACCAAATTTTAGGGAGAAGTGCAAATGGCTAAGGGGATACAAAGTATAGTTGATGTTTAAACACTGCAAAGTAATTTTTTTGTCAAATTATTTTTCAAAACAAATCAACATATTCAAATTCCATGGATTGTTTTGAGCGAAATGTAGACTTCGTAAATCTCGACAAAAATGTAAGACAAAAGATTGACATTACATTTAAATGAAAAATAGTTCAGAAAGAAATATTTACGCATGGCCAGTTGTATGTTGCATGCTCAAGGGTAAGAAATCTTAAGAATTTATTATTCGCTGTTAAAAAGAAAAAGAAATTGTCTTTAAATAAATGTCCAATAAAATTAAAGAAATTATTAAACCGCTAAGTAGGATTTTTGTCAAAGAATTTTTCCAAACAAATCAGCTTTTTCAAATTTCATCAATTGTTTTGCGAAATTGAACGAAAAGTAGAGCTTGTAAAAGATAACATCAACAATACTAAATATAGTGAGGGTTTCAACACGCGTTAATGTACATTATTTACATTAGTCGGACTATTGTCCTCATCTTTGTCGCCATATTTATTACAACGTTTCGGCCGTTGTACGCTACGGCCTTCTTCAGTTGGTTACAATGTCGAACTGAACCCTTTATTTCGACATTCCAACGACCAAGATGAGGACAATAGTCCGAATAATGTAAATAGTGTACATAATACCTCATCTCAGAAATATAGACAGATACTGAAAGGGCCGAAACGTTGTAATAAATATGGCGACAAAGATAAGGAAATAGTCCGAATAATGTAAATAGTGTACATAATACCTCATTTCAGAAATATAGACAGATACTGAATGGCCGAAACGTTGTAATAAATATGGCGACAAAGATTAGGACAATAGTCCGAATAATGTAAATAGTGTACATAATACCTCATCTCAGAAATATAGACAGATACTGAAAGGCCGAAACGTTGTAATAAATATGGCGACAAAGATGAGGACAATAGTCCGAATAATGTAAATAATGTACATAATACCATTTCAGAAATATAGACAGATACTGAAAAGGCAATAAATATGGCGACAAAGATGAGGACAATAGTCCGAATAATGATAATGTACATAATACTGAAAGACAGATACTGAAAGGCCGAAAACGTTGTAATAAATATGACGACAAAGATGAGGACAATAGTCCGAATAATGTAAATAATGTACATAATACCTCCTCTCAGAAATATAGACAGATACTGAAAGGCCGAATCGTTGTAATAAATATGGCGACAAAGATGAGGCCAATAGTCCGAATAATGTAAATAATGTATGATACAGAAAGGACGAAACGTTGTGATAAATATGGCGACAAAGATGAGGACAATAGTCCGAATAATGTAAATAATGTACATAATACCCTCCTCTCAGAAATATAGACAGATACTGAAAGGCCGAAACGTTGTAATAAATATGGCGACAAAGATGAGGACAATAGTCCGAATAATGTAAATAATGTACATAATACCTCCTCTCAGAAAATATAGACAGATACTGAAAGGCCGAAACGTTGTAATAAATATGACGACAAAGATGAGGACAATAGTCCGAATAATGTAAATAGTGTACATAATACCTCATTTCAGAAATATAGACAGATACTGAATGGCCGAAACGTTGTAATAAATATGGCGACAAAGATTAGGACAATAGTCCGAATAATGTAAATAGTGTATATAATACCTCATCTCAAAATATAGACAGATACTGAAAGGCCGAAACGTTGTAAAAATATGGCGACAAAGATGAGGACAATAGTCCGAATAATGTAAATAATGTACATAATACCTCCTTTCAGAAATATAGACAGATACTGAAAGGCCGAAACGTTGTAATAAATATGGCGACAAAGATGAGGACAATAGTCCGAATAATGTAAATAATGTACATAATACCTCCTCTCAGAAATATAGACAGATACTGAAAGGCCGAAACGTTGTAATAAATATGACGACAAAGATGAGGACAATAGTCCGAATAATGTAAATAATGTACATAATACCTCCTCTCAGAAATATAGACAGATACTGAAAGGCCGAATCGTTGTAATAAATATGGCGACAAAGATGAGGCCAATAGTCCGAATAATGAAATAACATAATACCTCCTCTCAGAAATATAGACAGATACAGAAAGGACGAAAACGTTGTAATAAATATGGCGATGATGAACAATAGTCCGAATAATGTAAATAATGTACCTCCTCTCAGAAATATAGACAGATACTGAAAGGCCGAAACGTTGTAATAAATATGGCGACAAAGATGAGGACAATAGTCCGAATAATGTAAATACGTACATAATGAAATATAGACAGATAAAAGGCCGAAACGTTGTAATAAATATGGCGACAAAGATGAATAGTCCGAATAATGTAAATAATGTACATACACCTCCTCTCAGAAATATAGACAGATACTGAAAGGACGAAACGTTGTAATAAATATGGCGACAAAGATGAGGACAATAGTCCGAATAATGTAAATAATGTACATAATACCTCATCTCAGAAATATAGACAGATACTGAAGGGCCGAAAGGTTGTAATAAATATGGCGAAAAAGATTAGGACAATAGTCCGAATAATGTAAAATGTGTACATAATACCTCCTTTCAGAAATATAGACAGATACGCGTTAGCGTATTGCGAAAAAATTCTAGTTTAACAAAATGATGGGAATAATAATCATAATATACATTCAGAAACTATTTCTTTGAATATGCAGTTAAAACATTGATATGTCAAGGAACGGATTTGACATCGAGAATAGCGGATTGTATCATTATTGTACATGTTCAAAAATATAGTTTTGAGTCTATGAATTTAAGCGCAGGACTATATTGGAAGCAATTTCTCACCATTTCTCTGTTGCACAATGGCTACATGTAAGCGTAAGTTTTACGCTAACAATTTTTTCTCTGGTACTTCACGCTTGTGGAACTTTCTTCCTGCTTCTTACTTCCCAGACAACTTTGATCTTTAAACATTTAAATGCAATGTCAATCGTTATCTTTTGATAGATAGTGTTGTGGCCTGTTAGGGGCCAGAGAGAAAGACACGGAAAGAAGAATATAGGTTGAACAAGTGTATTGAAATAACAGAACATATATACAAAATAGATTGTTATTAGTCAGCAGATAGAAGTGTCGGTCCGAACTGTCAGGTTACACTGCGTCCCGACTGCCTCTGCTTAGGAAGTTTCGTAGGTTAGTATTTATGAAAAAGGAAGAGTTCTTTCTAATGTAGATAGGTCACCATAAGTCTTCTATCATCACCTGTATATTTGTGGTTCTTTTCTCTTATCTCCAATATATAGAGTATGTTCATTTTTCCCTTTCTGTCACGCCTCATCTCTTTCTTACTCCCTCTCTATTATATATATGTGTATGTGTGTGTATGTGTGTGTGTGTGCGTGTGTGTGGGGATGGCGGATATCTGCAAGGAAGTGCATTCATATAAATGGTGAAAGTTAATTAAAAAAAACAACACTGAACAGAAAATTATCAACATGAAGTTCCCTAACACGCATAGATAGATAGATAGATAGATAGATAGATAGATAGATAGTATTTTCATTTTTCTATTTCGTTTTTTGTTTTTTTAATGCTTTTCTTTCTTTCTTTTTTCTTTCTTTCTATTTCCTTTTCGATCTTTCTTTTCTTTTCAGAGATAGATAGATAGATAGATAGATAGATAGATAGATAGATAGATAGATAGATAATGAATGCATTGAGATAGATAGATAGATAGATAGATAGATAGATAGATAGATAGATAGATAGATAGAATTAATATTTTTCGCGCCAGATTCTATCTTACACATGTCGTCCATGTTTCGAATATTGTTACCACATATGGTTTGGTGATCCTGCTATATATTTCGAGGTACTTGATAAAATTCAAAGAAGAATCTGTAAAGTTATTAGTCCTGACCTGTCATTTCGGCTTCAGTCATTTTTTCCACCGTTGTAATGTAGCTTCCCTGTGCTTTTTCTATAAATACTTTCATGATAATTGTTCTGATGAATTTTCTTCAATGGTACCTAGAATTTTTATGAATTCAAGCACCATGCTAGATTAGCGGCAAGGTCTCGTGATTTTACAGTTGAAATTGTTAACAACCGCAAGTTCTATGTTAGCAGTTTTTTCTATCGCACTTCTCAATTGTGGAACTCTCTTCTGGCTTCTGGCTTCCCAGTCAACTTTGATCTTCAAAACTTGTAATGCAATATCAACTATTACCATCTGTCTTCTTAATTCTTGTTCTTCTATTTTTCTCTCTGGTTAATAGAGTTTTTTTTTCCTTATATTCTCTAACACCCAGTGAGCGTCTTAGTGGCTTTATTGCCTTACTTGTGTATTATTGGAATCACAAATTGTCTGGTTTAAGTGAAGATAGAGTAGAACGAGATGTAAATATTAATTTAAAATTAAGAAACTTTCCAAAGAGATAATTAAAAGTATCAATTGTCGGTATATTTTATGCCAATAATTATAAAACTTTTCACCTAAAGTTTCGTTTTCACTGAATTCATTGTCTTCCGACTCGGAATTTTGAAAACAATGTAAATAATACAGGATGGAGAATGAATCTTTTATCATTCGACAATTTACGTTGACGGAAGTATAAAACAAAACAACTTCCTGTAGAGACACTGAAAATGTTTTGTTAGTACGTTTTGTCTTTTCTGGAACATAGTCAAAATTTAACATAGCACCGGGGAAGATCGCACTTAGTAAAGATATCTTGGGAGTCTGGCTTGCTAACCATTTTCTACGGTAAAGCGCACATTCGTATGCCTGCCTATTGATTCCATGTGAGAATAAAGATAATATAGAAAACACACCTGACGTTGTGGAATTAACCGATTTCTTGAACCCCAGGCAAACAGATTTTTTAGTCTCCGGGCGAACTGACTTTTTACTCTCAACCGAACCACGTATTACGACACATGTACGCAGCCCTCAAAAACACATAACCATGAGTATTACAGATTATTACATAAACAGGTTTTTTCTATTTTACTGTTATTTTGTATATAAGAATATTTTATTACTTCATTTTTAATGGATGCTCTGTTTATTTTAACTAGTATTTATAAACGTGCCCTCCGACAGGATTCGAACCTGCGTCTGCCTTTCCAGGAAGAACGAACCGTCTGATCATCACCTAAATAGGTTTTCTCTCCTTTTCTGTTGTTTTGTATATAAATAGATTTTATTGCTCCATTTTTAGTCTATGATCTGTTTATTTTAAACAGTATTTATAAACGTGCCTTCCGACAGGATTCGAACCTTTTACTACTCGTCTCCGAAGTTCAGTTTTTACTGGAAAAACATCTAAGTCATTTCGAAACGTAAACAAATCCATTTCTAAAGAATTAGTGGATTTTTTTTTAATCCGACATATTTTTATTTTTAATCCAACATGTTTTTATTTTTAATCCGACATGACTTTATTTTTAATCCGACATATTTTTATTACTCCAAATATTATTTTTGTCAGTAAAAATCTGAAAGTGTATGTGTGCTTTAAAGGCAAAATAGAACCTAGCTTTATTTGGAAGCTTTTCTCAGGCTGGTAAATGAATTATTTACTGTTTACGGAATGTTTACTCAAATACGGGCATACACTAAGAAGAACATTCGTTTTTGCTCGAAACGTATCCAAACGTAAACAAATGAGGCCACACACTACGAAATGTACAAAGACCGATAATTATTTTAAGATATTTTCTGTTTATACGATATTTTCATCGATACAAATATTTAAGTAAATGCTTTGTTTATAATAAACAATGTTCGAGGGAAAATCATAGAAAATTGTAGTTTAAAAACAGTAAAATCGACTTCGCTAACCAAGACGCTCCTCTGTAGCTAAATTGATATAGCATGTCAGGCTATATGACGGTTCCGAGAAGGATAAAGGTTCGAATCCTGTCGGAGGACACATATTTTCTATGAAAATTTCTTGGACATCCAGGCCGCTTAATGTTGTTAATACTATTTATTATAAACAGAGCATTTACTTAAATATACGTAATGTGTGACTATATATATATATATTTTCTGAGATGAGGTATTATGTACATTATTTACATTATTCGGAAAATTGCCCTCATCTTTGTCGCTATATTTATTACAACGTTTCGGCCGTTGTACGCTCCGGCCTTCTTCAGGTGGTTGGAATGTCGAACTGAACCCTTTATTTCGCTCACTGTGGTAGACTGTTCTATATATATATGCACACTAAGAAATGGACAAAGTCCGACAATTATTTTATTATATTTTTTATTATTTGTCAATTTCCTAGTGTGTTTATGCTTAGATACGCTTCGAGCAGATATGATCGTTCAAGGGAAATCATGGAAAATTGTAGTTTAAAAACAGTAAAATCGACCTTGCTAACCAGACGCTCCTCTGTAGCTAAACTGGTATAGCACGTCAAGCTAGACGACGCTTCCGTGTAGGATACAGGTTCGATTTCTATCGGAGGCCATATTTTCTATGAAAATTTCTCGGACGTTCAAGCCGGTAAATGTTGTCAAAACTGTTTATTATAAACAGAGAATTTACTTAAATATTTGTGTCTATATAAATAACGTATATCAATAAAAAAAAAAAAAGTAATTAAAATATTTATTCGTATATAAGTAAATGCAACATCTTTTGGTTAATTATTGATTAGTTTCATAATTCTAAAGTTTCTAATAATTTCCAAAAAATAACCCAATAAATGATACAGTCTTGTGAACTTTAACGGACATTGTTGCTGTATGATTACATGTCCGGTCTAAGCGCTAGCCAATCACAACGTCGTACCAATCAGGCTTTTAAATAAGACACAATTAGTCGACGCAAGGCCTACGATTAGTTCAGTTCTAGCGTGGCCAAATTGATCTCCAAGATCAGCCAAGAAGTGGCCTACCATTATGCATTAACAATGAGAATTTGTTCGCCTGTGTCAAAGCTGGTCTACACCTGACAGCACACTAACTGACTGACAAGTTTGGTGCCAGCCATTTACTTGGAGCAAAGTTAGTAAATTGGACATATGGGTCCAGCCTAAACTGACCGACTTTGACCGTCGGCGCCGCATGGACGCATGCAGGATACAAGTTTTAAAGAGGCGCTGTTTTGATTGGCTGAACAAAATGGTTTCTGCAGATGAAAAACTTTGTACTCGTACGTAATACGCAAAAAAGAAGCTGGACAGACAAGGCTGCAACATCAGGCAAAGTACGACCTGAATGAAAAGAAGCTCATACTTTGCGTCTAGTGGGATGTGAAATGCGTGATTCACTGGGAAATGCTGGAACACAATCAGCCCATCAATACCCAACTGTAATGTCAACAACTGCAACGTGTGGCTGACGCAGTAGCACAAAAATATTCCTTCATGATAACGCCCGACCACAAGTTGCAAAGCACACCCGTGAAAGATTTCCGGAGCTGGACTGGGGAAGTTCTCGCTTACCCACCGTCCTCACTCGACCTGGAGCCAACAGACTACCATCTATACAGGGTAATACAGGACTTCTTGAAGGGCAAAATGATTATAAACTGAAAACTGCAGTTGGTGGTTTCTTCAATAGCATGCCGGTTGCATTTTTCAACCAGGGTATCCATCACCAACCATAATTGGAATCAGGTGGGATTATACGGATATTTGGTGTGGCCTTTCACTGCATTGTATCCTTGTATATTGTTGTTAATAAAAGTTGTGCGGGAACATTGTTTCCAACATAATAGGTCGATACTAAGTTTCTTTTTTAATACAATGTAAGTGTACTCAACGAGGTTCGAACTAGTTAACGATGACCTGCGTAAAAAGCTTGCAACAACTGCATAGTTAGCAGTAAGGGGTAAAACATGGGTGGAAAGAAAGAAAGAAAGAAAGAATGAAAAATGAATGAATGAATGAAAGAAATTTATAAAACAAAGAAAGTAAGAAAGACAAAGAAAGAAATAAAGGAAAAGAAAGAAAGAAAAATGAAAGAAAGAATAAAAGAAAGAAAGAATCAATGAAAAAAGAAAAGAAAGAAAGAAAGATAAAAAACAAAGAAAGAAAGAAAGAAAGAAAGAAAAAAGAAAGAAAAGAAAAAGGACAAATAAAGAAAGAAAGGGAGAAAATAAATAATGAATGAATGAATGAATGAAAGAAAAATAAAAAGCAAAGAAAGAAATAAAGAAAGAAATAACGAAAGAAAGACAAAGAAAGAAATAAAGGAAAAGAAAGAAAGACAGAAGAAAAGAAAGAAAGAAAGATAAAAAAGAAAGAAAGAAAGAAAGAAAGAAAAAAGACATATAAAGTAAGAAAGGAAGAAAATAAATAAAGAATGGATGCATGAATAAATGAATGAAAAATAAAAAGCAACGAAAGAAATAACGAAAGAAAGACAAAGAAAGAAATAAAGGAAAAGAAAGAAAGATAAAAAACAAAGAAAGAAAGAAAGAAAGAAAAGAAAAGAAAAGAAAAGACATATAAAGAAAGGAAGAAAATAAATAAAGAATGAATGAATGAATGAATGAATGAAAAAAAAAAGCAAAAGAAAGAAAAAGAAATAACAGAAAGAAAGACAAAAGAAAGAAATAAAGGAAAAGAAAAAAAGAAAAAAGAAAGAAAGAATGAAAAAGAAAGAAAGAATAAAAGAAAAGAAAGTATCAATGAAAGAAGAAAAGAAAAAAAAGATAAAAAACAAAGAAAGAAAGAAAGAAAATAAATAAAGAATGAATGAATGAACGAAAGAAAAATAAAAAGCAAAGAAAGAAATAAAGAAAGAAATAACGAAAGAAAGACAAAGAAAGAAATAAAGGAAAAGAAAGAAAGACAGAAGAAAAGAAAGAAAGAAAGATAAAAAAGAAAGAAAGAAAGAAAGAAAAAAGACATATAAAGTAAGAAAGGAAGAAAATAAATAAAGAATGGATGCATGAATAAATGAATGAAAAATAAAAAGCAAAGAAAGAAATAACGAAAGAAAGACAAAGAAAGAAATAAAGGAAAAGAAAGAAAGAATAAAAGAAAGAAAGAATCAATGAAAGAAGAAAAGAAAGAAAGATAAAAAACAAAGAAAGAAAGAAAGAAAGAAAAGAAAAGAAAAGAAAAAGACATATAAAGAAAGGAAGAAAATAAATAAAGAATGAATGAATGAATGAATGAATGAAAAATAAAAAGCAAAGAAAGAAAGAAATAACGAAAGAAAGACAAAGAAAGAAATAAAGGAAAAGAAATAAAGAAAAAGAAAGAAAGAATGAAAAAAGAAAGAAAGAATAAAAGAAAGAAAGTATCAATGAAAGAAGAAAGAAAGAAAGATAAAAAACAAAGAAAGAAAGAAAGAAAATAAATAAAGAATGAATGAATGAACGAAAGAAAAATAAAAAGCAAAGAAAGAAATAAAGAAAGAAATAACGAAAGAAAGACAAAGAAAGAAATAAAGGAAAAGAAAGAAAGACAGAAGAAACGAAAGAAAGAAAGATAAAAAAGAAAGAAAAAAGACATATAAAGTAAGAAAGGAAGAAAATAAATAAAGAATGGATGCATGAATAAATGAATGAAAAATAAAAAGCAAAGAAAGAAATAACGAAAGAAAGACAAAGAAAGAAATAAAGGAAAAGAAAGAAAGAATAAAAGAAAGAAAGAATCAATGAAAGAAGAAAAGAAAGAAAGATAAAAAAGAAAGAAAGAAAGAAAAGAAAAGAAAAGAAAAAGACATATAAAGAAAGGAAGAAAATAAATAAAGAATGAATGAATGAATGAATGAATGAAAAAATAAAAAAGCAAAAGAAAAAAAAGAAATAACGAAAGAAAGACAAAAGAAAGAAATAAAGGAAAAGAAATAAAGAAAAAGAAAGAAAGAATGAAAAAAGAAAGAAAGAATAAAAGAAAGAAAGTATCAATGAAAGAAGAAAAGAAAGAAAGATAAAAAACAAAGAAAGAAAGAAAGAAAGAAAATAAATAAAGAATGAATGAATGAACGAAAGAAAAATAAAAAGCAAAGAAATAAATAAAGAAAGAAATAACGAAAGAAAGACAAAAAAGAAATAAAGTAAAAGAAAGAAAGAAGAAAAGAAAGAAAGAAAAGAAAAAAGACATATAAAGAAAGAAAGGAAGAAAATAATTAAAAAATGAATGAATGAATGAATGAATGAATGAAAAATAAAAAGCAAAGAAAAAAATAACGAAAGAAAGAAAAAGAAAGAAATAAAGGTAAAGGAAGGAAAGAAAAAGAAAGAAATAAAAAAGAAAGAGTAAATGGAAGAAAGTATCAATGAAAGAAAAGAAAGAAAGATAAAAAACAAAGAAAGAAAGGAAGAAAGAAAGAAAGAAAGAAAGAAAGAAAAGAAAAAAGACAAATAAAGAAAGAAAGAAAGAAAATAAATAAAGAATGAATGAATGAACGAAAGAAAAATAAAAAGCAAAGAAAGACATAAAGAAAGAAATAACGAAAGAAAGACAAAGAAAGAAATAAAGGAAAAGAAATAAAGAATAAAAGAAAGAAAGAATCAATGAAAGAAGAAAAGAAAGAAAGAAAGATAAAAAACAAAGAAAGAAAGAAAGAAAGAAAGAAAGAAAGAAAGAAAGAAAGAAAAGAAAAAAGACATATAAAGAAAGAAAGAAAGAAAATAAATAAAGAATGGATGAATGAATGAAAGAAAAATAAAAAGCAAAGAAATAAATAACGAAAGAAAGACAAAGAAAGAAATAAAGGAAAAGAAATAAAGAAAAAGAAAGAAAAAAGAAAGAATAAAAGAAAGAAAGTATCAATGAAAGAAGAAAGGAAAGAAAGAAAGATAAAAAACAAAGAAAGAAAGAAAGAAAGAAAAGAAAGCAGACAAATAAAGAAAGAAAGGAATAAAATAAATAAAGAATGTATGAATGAACGAACGAAAGAAAAATAAAAAGCAAAGAAAGAAATAACGAAAGAAAGACAAAGAAAGAAATAAAGGAAACGAAAGAAAGAAAAAGACAAAGAATGAAAAAAACAAAGAATGAAAGAAAATAAAAAACAAAGAAAGAAATAAAGGAAAAAGAAGAAAGAATGAAAAAGAAAGAGAAAGAAAGAAATGTAAGTAGGTATGCATAAATTATCTAAATAATAAAATTTCCTAAGAAGGCAGAAAATAGAAAACGATGATATTTTTCATGTTATATCTTTTCATTCCATTGGTGTTGGACAACTGATGTAATAATACAACTGCGAACAATTTCCCTCTGTCTGCGAGCATTTAATCCTCGCTTTCTAATACTATCTCAATCGATTCGTGATTAATCAATGTATATTTAGATAGCGTAAAACATTGGTTTGTGCCAATGCAGTTTGCAAAAGTGCACAAAATAACCAATGGCGGCTTCTGTTCAGAAAATAGTTTCCGGATTCTTTCCAAAAGCGCGTCTATTGCACCAAAGGTTTAATAAAGCTACCATTCGTCAAAGCCAACAAATATTATGTCACAAAGCAACGGAGCGAAAAAATATTTTGTCCCATTTTGATAACAACATTCGTGAATATTTTTATAAACGCACAAAATATTAACAATCGTTTGTGTATAAAATATGATACAAAATTCAGACAAAGTTTGAAGAATGAAAAACTGTTTCATTGAGACCAGATGATACGTTACAACTCTTACGAGACTTCATCAGATCAAAAACGAAAGAAAGAAAAATGTGTGTGTGTATATATTTATTGTATTTTTACATACAATTTTGGCACAACGCCGAAGGTGAAGTGGAATGAGGCTGGTTGTCATTGATCGTCCTAAACTGATTCACAACCCATTTATTCGTTACAATTTACTAAAAAGAACACATATCTTCATCCAATCCTACATTTACCAAAATACCACATATTCACAGGAAAACCTAAATGATGTAAACATTTATAGATATTTACAATTTTTTTTCTTTTATTATTTTTCTCATATCCTTACAAAAATATAAAAATTATGTATGCTGAAATGAACATGTAGGGAGGGGTGATCCTAATAACGAAAATAAAAACAACCAAATATTCAAATTAAAACAAAAATATGTGGGAGTATCTGTGTGTATGCTTAAATAATAAATCGTTAATAATTTTTCCGCTAAGCTGGCGTTTCTCGTGTTGAAAGAAAAGAATGAAATTGTGCGACTTTTGTAAAAAAAAAAAAATACTTAATATTTATTATATAGCTTTTCTTTATACTATTTACATTATTCGGACTATTGTCTTCATCTTGGTTACCATATTTATTACAACGGACACATGGCACAGTGGATAAAGGCGTTGGTTAGATCCAGTGACAGAACCCAAAGAGTGTGAGTTCAATACCCGGTTAAGGCAGTGGAGAACTTGGAGAGGGAAATTAACAGATAACTGGTAACTAACACTATTAAACATGGCACGTGGAACTAGAACAGTCTACCCCAGTGAGCGAAATAAAAAGTTCAGTTTGACATTCCAACCACCTGAAGAAGGCCGGAGCGTACAACGGCCGAAACGTTATGATAAATATGGTGACAAAGATGAGGACAATAGTCCGAATAATGTAAATAGTGTACATAATACCTCATCTCAGAAATATAGACAGATACTGAAGAAGGCCGGAGCGTACAACGGCCGAAACGTTGTGATAAATATGGCGACCAAGATGAGGACAATAGTCCGAATTATGTAGTGTCTATAATACCTCATCTCAGAAATATAGACAGATACTTTACAGTTGTTTTGTTCTTGTTTGAACTGACTTTAAGTTGAAGACAAGAGCAGACATAAAAACATGTAAATCTTTTACTTTCAACCCATTTTGAAAAAATTGGATAAGGATTTACCTTAAATTCATTTTTTAAAAAAAAGGCTATATGAATATTTTGCTTTCGTGCCATTCTGAAAATTGAATGAGGATTTACCTTAAATTCAATGCAGAAAAACTGGGAAAATGCATAAACAAATTTCAACAAGAAAATTGTAATGAAAAAATACACAATAAATATTAACGGGTTATATTTTTAACAAATCGCACAATTTCATTCTTTTCTTTCCTCACAAGAAATGCCAGCTTAACAAGCATTTGTAAATTATGGTAGCCAAACTCTTTGAATTTGAGCACAAAACTAGATTCGTAGTAAGGTCTCATCGTTTTGCATGTGAAATGTCTAGATGTAACCGTAAGTTCTATACTAACAGTTTCTTCTATCGCACTTCTTGCCTGTGAAATTCTCATTCAGCTCTTGCTTCCGAGTCAACTTTGATTCAAAAATTTAAATGCAATGCCAATCGTTACCTCCTGTCTTCTTAATTTTTATTGTCCTCCCTTTTTAATAATATTTTTTATCGTATTCTCTAACACCCAATAACTTCTTGCGTCCTTGTAGCTTTGTAGCCTTGATTGGGGTGAAATGATTAAAAAAAATAAAGTAACCAATGGCTGCAATTGAAATCACAAACGAATAAGAATTTGTGTAGCAAAAGTTGTCAAAAAAGATACGAAATAATTTGAAATACTTTTGATTATGTTGGGTAAACAGAAAGGAAATTGTCGGTTTCAAAGTAAAATTATGCTGTGTAAGACCAAACCTGGTATGTTGATTCCGAATCTACACAAAATTCTCCTCACCCGCCAGGTTTTGAAAATGTGCACATTACGTACGTTCAAGGTGAATGTATTATATACATTATATTCATATTATATTACTTCTGTATATTGTATATTTATGTTTAAGCAATATAACTGGTTACTAATCGTTTTCAAACACACTCGTCTATAGGGCTGGCTAGCTAAATTCTATGTCGGACACCAGCTCAACCCACACAGTCCACACGGCAACTTTGCTGGGCGCCCCTTAGTTATAGTTTCTGGGAGAGAGCGCATTATCTGATGTGATCAGTTTCTTTCATCAAACCAAACCCTCGGTCACGATGACTTATTATTTCGTGCTAATGCAAATATCAACATGGTATGGTTTTCAGGCAGCTTCCAAATGTGAGGGTGCTTGAAGAAGTCAATTAGTCCTCCTGGTGAACCAATTGACCATGATGAGATTCGATCCCGAGGTTCATACATAGTTATATTCGATGATGATTAACAAGATGAGATTTCTTTCTTACTTTTTTTTTTCAGCATTCTTTCTTTTTTCTCACTCTCTTTCTTTCTTTGTGCCCTCTTACATTCTCCTCTCTCTCTCCCTCTCTCTCTCCCTCTCTCTCTCCCTCTCGCTTTCTGTTTCCAACATTCTTTCTTTCTTTCTTTCTTTCTTTCTTTCTTTCTTTCTTTGCCGCTTTCCTACATTTTTCCATTCTACCTCTGTTTTTTTTCTGTCTCTTTCTTCCGGTCTCTTCCGTTGTTTCTCATTCTTACACTCATTCATTCTTTCTTTCATTCTTTCTTTTTTTTTACCTCTTCACTACATTCTCTTCACTTCTCTCTCTCTCACTCATTGTCTCTTCCCTTCATTATCTTTTTTTTCTCTCTCTCTTTCTTTCTTTGCTCTCTTCCTCATTCTCTCTTCTCTCTCTATTTCTATCACTTTCTCTCTCTTTCCAACATTTTTTTCTTTCTCTGCCTCTTTCCTCCATTATCTTCCGTTCTTTCATTGTTTCTACATTCATTCTCTCTTTCTTTCTCTGCCTCTTTTCCTACATTCCTATATTCCCTTCTCTCTATCTATCTCTCACCCTCTCTCTCTCTCTCTCTATCTATCTCTCTCTCTCTCTCTCTATATATATATATATATATATATATATATATATATTGTCCTACATTCTCTTCCTTTCTCATTCTCTCTCTCTTTCTCTTTCATTTTCTTTCTGTCCGCTTTTATGCAATTGCTCTAA